TATTCGTTATTGACCATCTGCCCATTTGCAGAACGTTGGTTTCTAGGTGCTGACATAACCAATAGAACTTCCCTCCAATAGATAGAAGTACCTGCAGATCTGAACAGAAGGTAGGTGATGGGACGACTTCGGACTATTCAAAAAATATGCTGCCCAATGGAAGATGAACACGTTTTGTCATTCTTCGTTAACACCTCGTTTCATAGGTAATATGATGAAGTTGCCTTGCGACGAGTTATCAAATACCCTCTACTGCGACTTGGCAAAGGAGATAGCATTTTATTCCATTCTACGTCTCTCTTCATAACGGTAAGCGAAAACTGAAAATGAGAGAAACGAAAGGTGGGCTAGAAATGTCACAAACCTGACTTGCCGTATACAAAGGACCTGCAAATCCAATGCAATTTAGAAGTAATATATGAGGGAAAAATTTATTTTTTGGTACCTGTCAAAACTGAACGAAGTCGACGCTTCTCTAGTGTACTCTTTCGTGACGTTTTTCGACGAGTATTTGCTTGACAGTATGTTCATGGTGTTCAACATTCGTGAGCAATTTCCAATGTCTCCTACGCTGTCATCGAGCCCAACAGATTTAGAAAACCGAAGCATATCTGAGGTCTCGGTAACGAAACCGATATTTTGAGTGAGCACCTCATCAACTCACCGGAGTTAGATCTTGCACCAATTCCAATCCAGAGCCTTGCACCAATCCACCAATCCAGAGCCTTCATTTCAACTCCTCAGATTGTTCCTTGGTCCCTAGGGGAACATTTGAATATGCTACATCTCAGTGGTATTTGAGCGCTTGTAGAGCACCACATCATTCCATTTTTATCATCCCCCCCTCGAATAGAACTCATCCAGAACTCACCACCCATCCATTAATCTTTTAGTACCGTAATCTCGTAACCCTGAGACATATGGAATAGAGGCGGATTACGAAACCGTGCTGATAGCTAAGCTGTCCATAAACAAACCTCACTCTCGGTGTCACACTGAGAGCAAGCCAGAGTAACACTGTGGAGGATTGACACTAACGAACTGTTGGCAGAGTCGTTAAGGGTCTCTCATAGACCCAGAAACTGACAACTAACAATACTGTAGTAATTGCGATTGACATAGCACCTTATGCATCTCGCGGCAGTCCTTAGAAGGTGGATATAGTGAGAATCAAGGAAAATTACGGCGAAATCTTTTCAGAAATCCAGGAGCCATGGACTAGCTGAGCGAAAGATCCGGATGATATTTTATGGATTATGCAAGAAGATGAAAAGAGGATAAGATAATTGAGAATTTGAAAAGTCGAAACATGCCATATTCAAAATAATGTGACTGAAATTGTGCATGTAATCATTCCACTGAGGCACTTAGTTCCGATCTTTTCTTTTGAGGTAAGACCGCATTTGTATGGAGATCTCGTCATATTCTCATTCTCGGAAGCATAATTGCTTCAAGTTGGATGAGAAGTGTTCTCTGCTCCGGATTTAATCGCTCGGTTGATCGACTGACGAAGGGTTCAGAATTATCCTCGTTACAATATCACGGATCTGGCGCATAACCTTCCCTGTACGTTGTTCCGCCATGCGACCTATTACTTTGGTGTAGATGGCGTTGAAGTTCGATGATGATCGATTGTCGAAAGCACCAAGAGAAAATGAACGCCTGTGAGAAAACTTCTGAATCGATTTAGCTAAAAAATTTTGTGAGCAACGTCAATATGAATATTCAGAGACAGAATTTAGTGGCGATTGCTTGGAGAGGTGTTCATTCAGCAGAGAATCAATAAGGGTTGATGATGATGATCGAGACCATCGCCCTGAATAAGCAGGCATTTGTGCTAGTCGTCATCATTTGAAAACTGTGTTGCAGACTTCTAGAACCTGAAACCTTATGAGAATGCTTGGAACAGAAGGTCTTAAACTACATTACAAGACAACAGCAGCAACAACAACTGACTTATCCTTCCTCGTAATAAACCGGGATCATTGTTACTCTTACCTATAGTCTTGGATAGAGCTTTTGCTTGCCTCTCACTGCAGTCAAAATAGGTTCCAGAAAATGGCACCCTGAGGCTTAGCCCGCTCAGAGTTCTCTTTAATGGGCTACCACACAGCCACCTTTTCCTTGGTGGTCCTCCGAGAGTACAATGACTCTACTGTGAAAATAAAACTCGTGATTAAAAGAAATGAAAAATAATTTAGGAGGAAAGTTTAACATAGTGACATGCGTGGCTGTGTGAACGGTAAAGTTCCATAAGAAGCGGTTCCATAAAAAAAACTTTGCTTGAAACAATTTTGGTTGTAAATCCGTCGAAGACGTCAGTTTAAACCATGGTTTAAACCAACCTAGTGGTCTTGGACCAGTGGATTAATTTCGGTGGTCGAAACGAACGTGCACCTGCATGCCTCGTGGGTGAAATGCTTCTTTGCCAGGTATATCGTGTCTGTCGTCAGAAGCGCAAGCTCCACAACTTAATAGAAAAGTACCGTCGCCAGAGAGAGGGATACGGTAGCATTTCGTTCGTCGACCGTTGTGACGAATGCGTTCAACAATGCTGCCAGAACTGCGCACCTTTCCAAGGTGTTTCAGTCGGTGCCCAAGCCAAAGGACTGTGGCAACGGATCAAAGTTCGGGGAACGTACCAGCACGAAGTAGCGAAAGGGCTTTTCTGTTTTGTGGCCATGGTGATTTTCTTCACATTCTTATATGGTCTCGTCGTTCTAAAATGGCCTTACGACCCTGAAGACGCAGGTAAATTCAGTTTAGCCGAAAATCCACTAAATAATCGTGAACATGTTCGTAAATTTAGGTGCCATACCTTAACATAAACTACGCATTATATTATGTTTCGATTGGCGAATATTAATTCTCAACAGGTAAATCAAAATAGTGTTAGTAAATTACTATAGAGATATTAAAAAGGAAGCTGTGTAGCCAATGCCATGTCGGCTTCCATTGTGCTTCAGTGATCTATACCATCCAGTGGAATCGCTTTATCGTTCGTTTTAAAGGCCATAAATACACACAGGTGACTAGTATAGTTGTTGTTGGTTGTCTCCTCTACCTTCTCCAGAAGCTCTCACTCAGCAACTATCGAAAGATAATGCGAGTGATTCGATCGTGATCGATTTGTGGATCTGGGCCCAACGCTTTACCGCTACGCAATTGTCTACATAATAAACACGTATCACAAATATGCGTTTGAACAGCGATAGAAATATGAAATTTAATTGATGGTTGAATCTTAAACGAACCGCGTGGAAAATTAGAGGTCTTCGTTTGGTTTTTTCGAGTGAAAGGCGGTTTAAAGTTACTTCTTGGTCGTGACTCAAATTTTGCCCTAGCTGATAGTGTCCATATCTTACTCTACTGTACTTCATCTGATGCTCAACTGACTTTATTACAAAACCGTTCTTTTCCGTTCACGTGATAGGACTCTTCTAATATTCGATCTTACCTTGCCAGGATTGAAAGACGCACAGCATTCTGAAGCTAAACAGTCGACTTTACATGAGTTCTCGCTAGAAGCGCTCTTCTCTCCGTTCTTGAATTGCTTGTCCTGCGATTCAGGTTTCCTATGCGTCACAAGAAAAGGTCAATTTATGCACTTGTATCCAGGATGCTTTTAGACATTAAGTAGTATCGCAAAAACGAGCTACAGACTGCTGTTGTGACCGGACTTTTGCAACACATATGATCGACAGCTGCAAAAAAACAGTTCCAAAAACAGAGCCATGCAGATATGATGTCTTCTGTGATATCTTCTGTATCATGATCCCATAACTTCAAGAAGGCAAGATGGACAGAGGCACCGTATTTCACGACGGTTCAGAAGAGAAGAATGCTTTATTTTAGCATTATTTTCTAATTGCTTTCTCTCACGTATATAGTATGTTCTCTTCCTCATTTTTTCTTTCTTTGTTTCAGTCTTTTCCATATTCTCTCTATCGTTCATTTATCATCCTTCCTATTTTCTATCGACCTTATGCCAGTGAACCAGCAGCGCAGGTGTGCATCGGATGTTTCATCATCGATTATTTCATAGGTTATCATGAGTATCGTTTATCTGAAATGCTTGGGACTAGGATTGTTTCAGATTTTGAATTTTTTTGATTTTTGGAATACATCATATGGTGGAGTTGAAGAGAATTGAGAAAAGCTTCAAAGAATTGATGGAGATGCTCATAACGCGTCAACAAATTCAGATATATAAACTATTAAAAACATTTAACACACTTTTCACCCATATTCTCTACTTGAACAAACAAAGTAGCGAATCTGCTGCCTTTGAAAAAAAGTATTTACGGTCCAAAACAATGAGTTCCTATTCCAAATTGCTGCCTGTTGTGACAGTCAAGTTAGGATGTTTCTGAAAGCTGCATAATGGCTCCTTTCAAATCCCAATGAAAATGAAATCAGTTATTTCACAAATTGAAAAGACCAGGGTATCGTCTCTGTTCAACATCAGTGACATTTTAACACAGCTTCTATAGGTTGGAAGGGAGGGCGATTGAGGAGGGGAAAGAAAGAAGGAATGGAAATTGGGAGTTAATGGGTTGTGATGATAAAATGATAAAATGCAAGCTAGAAAATTGGGGTTATTCGACGTGTTGTGCCTTTTAATCCTGCAAACAACATGAACAGTGACAATTGTGCTCACGTAAGGGACGTAGAGAACTTCCGATAACGTTTGATCATCCGGCGCTGGTTAAGAACGGAGGTCTGAGTGGCCAGATATCAGAAGATTCGACTGCCGATGGAAGGTTGAGGGGAACAGAGACAGGAAGGGAGGTCAGCTGCTTTCAGCAGTGTCTTGTTTCAAGGTAGGATACGAGCATAGGTTTGAGGTGACAGAAGAGACGCTTGCCCATCTGTCACAATTCCTTAACAAATAGTAATGATTTTTCATTGCGCTCCCTTCAGAGAGAAGTATTCTCTCTAAGCCTGTTTTCCAGTTTGTGAGTAGCTTCACCGTAAACATATCCATTTCAACAGCGTGATAATATCTGCCAATCGTTAACCCAATACCTTAAGTATAGGGAATATGGTCCCGTGCGCTGCAGTGGTTTGTAATCTGGTGTTTTTTCCGTTACATTTCCCGTATGTATTAATCGCTTGTAAAATTGCCATAATCAACAACAGGTAGGTGATTAAACAGCTAAAGCTTTTAGGTATTCTATGTGGTGTTTTGGGCGCCATCACGGTTTATGCTATGGCCATCAGTGACACGTTTTGCTCTCTGTTTCTGCTCATGCTCGTTTCGATGATTACCAGCGGCGGAAGGACGATCGTGGTGCTGCTGGCCCTGTCATTCACGATCCAAGGTCCGATGCTGCACGTCCAGCAGAATCTGCGACAGACGACAAAAACTCTGGCATGCATTCAAGAGCAGGTGCAGAAGGAGGCCGTGAAGGCTAAGAACTACGCAAGGAGCGTGTTACGCAGCAAGCTTAAGCCTTTCGAAGCCATGGCGCAAAAGTTTCGACAGACTTGCGCTCAGGTGCAAAACATTTTGAAGCGTATGTTCGTCGGAGTGACGATTCTTGCTCGAGGAGTGAAGAAACTAGGCAAATGGCTGCAAAATATCGTCAGTATTTGCAATACGGAAGTACGTCTTCCAATTAGTCACTTTTTAAATAATTATCGTCAAAATATTTTGGCACTGTCATATGTTGTACTTTGTATTGCGCCAAGGTAATACCAGAAGTTTACTGAACACATGTAATAAGCATCTTAATTTACTATATCGCTAATTAGCATTACGGCCGTATAGTACTAGGCTCGTCAGAATATGCACCAGCTGTAAGGACTGCTGTACTAGGTGGCTCTAGACGCCAAAATGATTCAAGATGCTTAAGGTAATACAAACGCTTAAATTTCAGGTCATTGAGTCGTGACCTGCTCAAACGGTCTCCTAAGTGACTAGAGAAGACAAAGGGGACAAAGCAATACGTCATGAAATCTAGTTTTGAAGTAGTCGTGACACCCTGATGTACGAATAACGAATGAATTTTATGCAGTATACAGGCCGATATGTCGATTTCGCGTTTGTTAATGATAGATGTGGCCAACTGTTCAGGGTAAGGGTGAATTGTAGGCAAGATCTTGCAAAAGTTTCTACTCACGGCTATTTAAGTGGTATTATTACGTCATTTTCTTTCATCTTCCATGCATCATGCATCAAGCGTCGTTCTGCTCTTTCGCATGTCTCATCCAAGACGAGTCGTAATCCTCCTTTTGGAGGGTGGACCTCAAGACGTGAAACTTAAGCTATATTTTCTGCCGCAGTTAATATTTACCGTGTCCGCCTCCCCACCCTTCCGTCCGAGTTTATAGTTTGAACATTACTCTGATAGAGGGGCATAATGGAGCTCCCTCGACCACGCTTAGCATCGTCTCCCTGACCGACGGATGTTGATCACTGGTCGCTATCCGCGAAGGTAACGCAGAGGTTGGAAAATTAATACAATTTATTCCCTGTAGAAGTCATGTGACGGATACGCGTGTTACAGATTAGACGTCGATTACGCGTTTATCAACTTTAAATATATTTGTTCATGTTTTCCGCCATGAATCATTTGCTTCGCTGGATGCAATAGATTAATAGAATAGCACTATAGCACTCTGTTCAGCTGGTGAGTTATGGCTTGGAGACTACGTTTTATTTATGACTTGATAATTTATCACCATATGAGTGTAACACACCGCTGTCGTGGTCTTCTCAGTGCAAGGACCTCTGCTGTAGAACACCGAAGAGTAGTGGTCCCCTGGAGTAGATGTCAGCGCATCAGGTGAAAGCGAAGGACAAGCTTCCTATTCAGCATGCCCCCAAAGTCACGCTTGTGTATCAGATACGGTGGACTCTCTCATTTACAGTCTTGCCCTACGGGATGAGGATCAGTTAGTACGCATTTGGTCTATATTGAAAAAATTCCGTCACGGTAATTGCCTCATTAAAATTCTATTGCTGTCTTAAGTATTATTCAGTGCTCACGGCCATTCTGATAGCTTTTTCAGTATTCTGATATTATCATGCGTACAGGGCCAGAGTTGATGGTCGTCTTTCCCAAAAATCGCTTTGCTAAGCAGAACTATTAAGTAACTGCAGCTTTATGTGGCCTGTTACATGAGGATTACGACAAAAAAACTAGAAGTGGAGTTTTATACAAGTGCAATAAGCACATGGTGTACAACAAACCAAGCTTTCTAATGATGTGACAACGTACCAGACACCCATGCAGGCTTTCGAATCCTCCGCAGTGAAGAAATGACCCTTTTATGCTTTTCCAGAATTGCAAGAACTATGCTTGCACCTACTACGCTGACCAAACTCTTGCCATTCAACTGGTAACAAACCTCAGGGATAATTGATCCTTGCGCACATACCCACCTGTGCTACAGTCATGACCGCTGAATGGTGGACCGCTCAGTGGAGAACTGATTCAGCAACCCCCCCTGGCCTGCTGCAGTGGCTAAAACGGTTGTATCAAATCTGCAACCAAACAGAAACTTACAGTACTCTCTACCGCTGGCCGATGGGTTTGGGGAAACTTTAAAGGCTGCCAAAAAACTCTTACTGTAAACCATTAAAAACTGGGACGTTTAACTTGTAGTTGGAAAAACCGTACGACCGGTGCAGAGCGTGGTTTAGCGACCTGATGTCCAAGTGTGACGACTCTGTGAAGTACTTCCCGCTGCTGTGGATCTACTGCCAATCGTTTGGCCTGTTCAAACACTTCTGTACGTTTGCGCTGCTGCTGACGAAGTTGTGCGACTGGGGCCAGAGCGTTGTCGACCGAATACAGGAGGCGATCATCGACCGCATCACGAACCAGATCGAAGGAGTGCAACAGGAGATCAGTCAGGCGTACGCGTTCAACTTCACCATCAAGGAAAACTTCACCTACGACTTGAGGTTCAAAACCGACATTCAGGAACTGTACGACATCCTAGCCGACGGTTTGGCAAACGTCAAGTAAGTAAGAATATTGCTCAGCACATCTTTCGCTGACAAACGTATCATTTGTTCAACGTGTCGTCTGAAATCGTTATTAACGATTCACAGGCGATCTGATAGCCGATCGGCATCTCCATCGTGCGACAGATTTACTGTAAGGTATTTCTTGAAGAGGAAATTACGAGAGGAACGAGGCACTGGTTGAAACTAGATTTTATAAACAATTCATTGCAATAAGTTGATACCTTCTAGTTGTTGCAAGAATGCGTTAAAACGGCTTGACCAATACGCCACCACTGTCGAATCCGGCGCGGATCAGCATCGAGAGGCATCTCGTGGGTAAACGACATATAGGTTAGGTTTTGGTATAATTGACCGAGCATCGATTACAAACCTTATTTGTAATGGTTAATGACTTAGACTTGACAGCTTCTGGTAGGCTATAGGCACGCAAACGCTGTTCAGAAAAAGAAACAAGGACTATAATAAGGAAATTCGGACAAATGTTAAGGGTAGGCGCAGCAGCTGTGCCCTGACTGAGTTGATCGCATGGGCACCGTTGTCTCTTCATGCTACTGCCGACTTACAATGTTACACAATGGCGACTTCCGGAAGGTTCTTTGTTTTTCATCCAAATTTATACTTTGTTTTCATTGTATTAAATTTAAGTATCTTATTTTTTACTTGCTCGAAGATGCGATTCTTCACAATGCTTTACTTTGCTATGGCTGCGTTTTTCACATCCGGTTGCCATGTGGGCTATCATTTTTCGTATCTTCAGTATTCCTTGTTTTGCTTCAGTCGGATCATTGAAGCGGTAACGTCTCCCCCAACTCTTTTTAAATGGCATACGATCTTCAAGTTTCCCGTCATCGATTTGCCGCCTTTACGCCGGTTTAGTTCGTCAGTGTTTGTGCTCACGATTTCAGATTTCTTTTCAACCGTCCGCTTCAACTTCACAAATGCAGTTTGACATTGAATGCAAAAATATCTTGTTTCATATTCCTGACCGAGTCACTGTGCAGTCAAACTCGCTGTCTTTGCGTCTTCTCTTTTTAGCCAATCTTTGATGCATACAGTTGGATTGTCCCCCTTTTATTTCCTATTTATGACTTAACTAATTCCCTCAGTGTTGCGACCTCATGATATTTCCTTAGGCCACGTTGGCAAAGTTCCTCCTACTGGAAGGTTTACATGTTCCCAGTTTTATGGCATAGATACGGATAAAGGTATACTGTACTGGCAAATGCTTGGTAAATATCATAAGGATAGACTATCAGATGACGCATGTCTCCCTAAACACCAGACTTCCCTGAATATTGCTCTACTTCTATGTGCTCGCCAGACTCACCTCGCTCTTATTACGAACGATGTTTCAGCAGCTGCCGCTATGCGTATGCTACCACATAAACATCGAAGTATGTTCCTACGCCGGAATATGTCACATGGCGCATAACTCTTTCATAACCAGATCATGGCATTACCGAATATTGATAATATAGGCCAGAAGGCCAGAAGTGCATGCACTAGCTGATTTGTCATCCTACATACAATGTGGCTTGCACGATTGTTGTACGACCAACAAGAAGCGTTCTTAGCCATTCTCTGAAAGCCAGCTGACTTACCTGTACACTGTGGAATCGCAGTCTAAAGTCGCAGTAGCACAAGCCAGTTCATCCTTAAATGATGCCATAAATACCCTCGGAAAAATTTTATTTGAATGAGTCCTTTAGTAAACATAGATTTTACATGCTTAGCATTTTCATAACAAATTGGTTGATATGTCGAACTGATTTTCTACCATATAATCAATTAATATTGCATCATACGGTGCTTAAGTCATGATGATACGCAACTACTTTAAACAGCTCGTTTGGACTCACGAGACAAGAAGATGCTATCAGTTCATGCAAATCTAAAAGTTTGTAATGGTCATCGGTATTAATGAAAATTACTTTAATTTAGGAATCCCATCTTCAGTTTCCATGGCGGCTTATACTTTCTAATCGCAAAGACACACACGAAGTACAGAGGTTCCAACGTTCCCGATCCTGTGCCAGAGTCTGAGCTTCGGTAAAAGACAACTGCAGTCTGGAACAGACACCTTCCATTTGATTGCACCGGGTTAATCTTGGCCGTACCCTGGGCCTTCTGCCTTAGCAAGAAACAGTTGCTTAGCCTTTCTTTCTGCAAGCACTCGCAGCAACCTCTCAAGCAATCTCAGCTGTGAATTTTCAGTCTGAAGAAGCAGCGTCTGTACACCAAGGATCTGTCGGATTTCTGTACCATGGAATACGTCGACACGCGCAGGGCCAGCCCATTTCAGCCGCTATGTCGATGAAGATCGATCAGAACACCGGGGGCTTACTCCTCAGAGTCCGTCTTATTTTAGTCACAATGATCCGGACTAGTTCACGCAGAACGTCGCTTTCTGCTCCAATCCGCCGGTCGATATCCTCCTTACATTGTTATCACCAATAGCGACGACACCGAAGTACTTGAGCTTCTGTACCTGCTGTACTGCTTCTCCATTTCACTGAACAGTGCAATGGACCCGATAACGAGAAAGTACAAGGCTCTTCGTTTTAGATACTTCCGTACGGATGCCGGTCGTCTCCCAGTTCTCGTCTCGACATCTATGCTGATACATTCATAACCTTCGCTGTGCCTGATTATTCTATCCATGTACAACACAAGCAAAAAAGGGGCCACGACACAACCTTTACGGAAACCAGTGCCAATGCTGAAAAGACGCGACTTAACGCCACTTACTCTGACACAGCACCTGCTATCAGAATACAGTGATTGTATGGCCCTCAGCAACTAGCCATCAGTCCCGTATGCGCGAAGGCATGTCCACAGACTGTTGCGTGGGATCCGGTCATACGCTTTCTCTAGGTCCAC